AGCAGGAACTTCTGCCTTTTTGCTCTTGGTTTTCTCTATGACCTACAGCATTTTTATCCCTCTTTTCCTCCATTAGTGCCTGAGGAAGCCTGGATGACAACTGAAGTGAACTTTGCAAGGTGAACAGTAGTCCCTCTGACAGATGAGCACGGTAAAAAGAGGGATAAGAAGGGCATTCTAGGCTGAAGGAACAGCATGCTAAAGGGAATATATTTTTTGTTCGAAAAGGCATGAGAGGACCTGTGTGGTTGCAAAAGAAACCTTAATCTTCTGAGACACAATACCGTCATGGGGCAGTTGCATGGTCTCTTGGGAGGGTGTTCAAATTTAGCCTATGTTTGAGATGTGTGACTCTGGGAAACTTGCTAGAGCTGTCGAATCTCAGGTTGCTGACAATGCCATGGAGATGATTATGACACTCTCCTCATAGTCAGTGGGAGGATTAATAAAAGTAAGAAAAACACACCAAGCAACTCACATGTACCAGCACTCCACTGTTTGCTTTAGGAGTATTTTCTCTTCAATTCTCAAAAAACGCCTGGTAAAACAGGAATTAATCTTGGTTCGATGTAGAAATCAAGGCTTGAGAAATGAAAGGACTTCCCCAAGGTTATACAGGCATACCTCATTTTCTTGCACTTCACTTTACTGTGGTTTGCGGATATTGCATTTTTTACAAACTGATGAAGGTTGGTGGCAATCCTGCATCAAACAAATGTCAACATCATTTTTCAAACAGCATTTGCCTTTTCATGTCTCTGTCACATTTTGGTAATTCTCACAGTATTTTTTTTTCTTTATTATTATATTTGTTATGGTGATCTGTGATCAGTGATCTTTGATGTTATAGTTGTCATGGTTTTGGGGTGCCAGAAACTGCACACATATGACCATGAACTTAACCAATAGTGTGTTCTGACTGCTCCACTAACCACCTGCTCATCTCTGTCTGGTCCTTAGGCCTCCCTGTTCCCTGAGACACAATATTGAAATTAGGCCAACAGATAACCCTACAATGGCCTCTAAGTGTTCAAGCGAAAGGAAGAGTTACACATCTGTCACTTGAAATCAAAAGCTATGATTAAGCTTAGTGAGGAAGGTGGTCAAAAGCCAAGTTAGGCTGAAAGCAGCTAGGCCTCTTGCACCAAACAGCCAAGTTGTAAACGCAAAGGAAAACTTCTTGAAGAAAATTAAAAGTGCTACTCCAGTGAACACACAAATGTGTGAACAGAAGTCACAATATTCCCATAAACCAAAGCCTGATCCAGAGTGCGAACTCTTCAGTTCTTGGTAGGCTGGGAGAGGCGAGGAAGCTACAGAGAGGAAATGGGGCTAACGGAGGTTGATTCGTGCAGTTTAAGAAGCCATCTCTGTACAAGTACAAGGTGAAGTAGTAAGTTCTGATGTGGAAGCTGCAGCAAGTCATCCAGAAGATGTGGCTAAAATAATTACTGAAGGTGGCTACACTAAGCAAAAGATCTTCAATGGAAAAAGATGTCATCTAGGACTTTCATAGCTAGAGAAAAGTCAATGCCTGGCTTCAGTTTCAAAGGACAAGCTGACTCTTATTAAGGGCAAATGCAGCTGATGACTCTAAGCAGAAACCAGTGTTCATTTACCATTCTGAAAATCCTAGGACCCTTAAGAATTATGCTAATTCTGCTCTGCCTGTGCTCTATAAATGGAACAACAAAGCCTGATGACAGCACATCTGTTTACAACATGGTTTACTGAGTATTTTAGGTCCACAGTTAAGACATACTGCTGAAGAAAAGAAGGGAGGGAGGGAGGGAGGGAGGGAGGGAGGAAGGAAGGAAGGAAGGAAGGAAGGAAGGAAGGAAGGAAGGAAGGAAGGAAGGAAGAAAAAAGAAAAGATTATTTTCAAAATATTACTGTTTAATTGACAATATCTCCCTTATTCTGACTTTTCTCCAAAACCATCTTTAGGGCACCATTCTTCCTTCCTGCAGCCCAGGTGGATTTTTGTCTCATCTTCTTTTATCTGGTGCTCTTTGTGTCTCCTTGGGAGTATACAGGGTAATAAACATATTCCCTCTGAAATGGCTCAAATATGAAAGGTGGATGTGTTGGAAGGAAATGGGAGTGTCTTATAAGGACCCCCCGAAAAGTGAAACAGTAAGTAGATAAGAGTGATGAAATTAATAGCTAATACTCACTGAATGCTTTTGAGGTACAAGACACTGCAAACATTTTATACAAATTAACTCATTTATCTTCCTAAAATCCTGTGAGGTATTACTATCACCATTTATAGATGTTGAAGTAATTTGTCCAAGATCATATAAAGCCACTAGACACGCAACTTGGATTTACAGTCGGGTGACATGACTTCTGGGCATAGTCTTCACACACATGCACACATACACTTTTGAGCTCTTGAAAGGTATAGAGTGTCTTTTATTTACCTGGCCCACAGATGCTCAAGAAATGGTTAACAGAAATGATGGAGTAGGATTCTCCATCAGTGACACTGTAACATCATGATCTTAGCCCAATCTGCAACAAGGTAATACACTCTCACCACTTTAAGTCCTCACTGTCTTGATTTAACTCTGGCTTTCTTTTCCTAGTTCAGTATCACTGTGAAGAGAGGGGCCAAGATGGCAGAACAGCATGGAAGTTTTTTTGTGTGTCTCTCGTCCCTGAAGTGCAGCCAGATCAACATTAAACTATCTTGCTAGAAAACCGGTATGAGGATTAACACAACAATCTGCACAACCTGAACCACAGTATCACTGTGAAGGCACTTTAAACCAAGAATTGAAAAACGTTATCATGTGCATGCTTATGCTTTTTAATTGTATGTGTTTAATTCATTCAAAGTTTGAATATTTGGATGAATCCTCTCGTAACAAAATAACAAGGTAACATCAAACTACATGTAGTGAAAGCAAATAAAATCTAGGGATTAAAGGACTACTTCAACTGTGTGGTACCAGTGCTTGAGACAGGAGGAAGGACAAAGAATGGGAGAAACAGAACACTTGCCATTATCCCACAACTGTACATATATAGTGGCCAATCTATCCATAATTATAACAGTTCTTAATCCTTGACACCATGCTGTGCTTAAGTCTCTCAAAGATCCTTCAACATTCCTTAGAATTTTACAATGTCTTAAATAAAACTAAATCAAAGGAAAGATAAATGTCTGCTTTTTAAAAACTCACCATCCCATCCCAAATCTACTATCTCTATTGAGAATTGCTATGGAATGTGCCTTCATCTCTTGGCTTTGTTAGGGTTGCACAAATACTAGAGTATTTTGTCTAAAGTTGGAAACCCTATCACTCATTCCACATCACAATTACATGTGATATAATACTCCTTTTTAAAATAATTTCTTTCTTATGACACGAAACACCATAGAGAGCATAACCTGAAATATAAGCTATATAAGTGTCGTTTACTCCCAAGTGTCCAGACAGTCCTAATCCAACCCAGACAGGATTCTGTACTATCCTTCTAGTCACAAGATAGGAAACCATGAGACAAGTAAGACTATTCCATTTATCTAAAACTTAAGACTACTTGAAGCCAGCCCCTTTACAAATCATAATTATCTGTCAAGGTTCAGTGTAGAAAATAAGATGCCTCTCAAGCATTTCAAGAAGGCACATATTACAAGTAGCTGTTTTCAAACTTGGTAGGCAGGCTGGAGGAAGGGTAATGGGGACAGCTCTGTACTATTAATTTCAATGTAAACTCCCGTAACTATGATCCAGGATGGAGAAATGACTGTTGCTGTTATCAGTCATGCTCCCAGCAGGGATACCTCAAAGCCACAAAGCATGAAACTCGCCTCTGGATCATGGAGTCCAGATAGAGTTAACATGACAGAACAGGCCTGTGTACTTTGCCTAGAACGACTCCCAGAGTGTATGTGCCCACACACAGGTAATTAGTACTCATCCTTTAAGATTCAGATTGAAAAGCACATCCACCATTAAGCCTGCTCTGATCTTTCATAGTTTGTTGTTTCTTGGCTATGTTCTCACTGCACTGGTAAAAATTAAAATGTGTGAATTAAGCCAACTGGAAATGGACTGTGAATTATCTTCACGAAAATAAGGATATTCTTAGCACAGAGATCAAGCCATTTTTCTCTAGCTTAGCTAGTCTCCCGCTAAAGCACACAGTAAGGCTTAATGATTCAAGAGGAAAGTAAAAAACTGCAAGAAATATCAGTGTCACAGTGAAGGAGTTCATTATATACAAACTGATTTTATTAGAGACCAAAAACTTTATTCACACCACCTTTTACTTCTTTTGCAGCTTTAATTTTTAACTTTAAAACATTTCCTGGATCCACTGGGTGACTAACTTATCTTCACATGCCCATTAGCTAAAGAAACTTCTATGCAGGACTCGAGTAAAATTGTTTGCTATTGCTATAAGAAATGCATATTCATTTATAATCTACTAATTTGCTCTCCTGTAGAACTGCTTACAAGTAACATCATTGTAAAGAAAGATTTACACATAACTCCTACGTCCTTCAGGCTGTTCTAGCATTAATCTTGTGAGGTCTAGCAAGATAACGCAATGAACAGTTTGCTACATTTCTCATACAAGCTTTCTCTCCAGTGTGAATTGAGACAGAATAAGGGATACACTTTCACTGAAGGACTTCCCACAATTTTTGTATTCATATTGCTTCTCTCCTGTGTGTTCAATAAGAGATTCATATTGCCTAATGTCTTTCCCATATGCTACATATATAGGGTTTTTCTCCTGTGTGTACTTACTTCTGTCAATTAAGGGATTAACAGTGGCTAATGGCTTTCCCGTATTTATTGCCTTTATGAAGGCAATAAACATTCTCTCTACAGTGTGAACTGTGATAGACAGTAAGGCTTGTATTACTGCTAAAGACCTTCCCACATTCATTACATTCAAAAGACTTTTCTCCAGTATAAATTTTCAGGAAGGATCTATGGCTAAGTGTATTATGACAAATATCGCATTCATACAGTTTCTCACTTATATGATTTTTCACACGTAGAAAGATTCATATGGCCTAAAGGCTTTTCCACACTTATTGCACTACTGGGTTTCTCTCCATTATGGATTTTCTGATGGGCAGTAAGATTTGAACCTTTGCTAAAAGCCTTCCCACACTCATTACATTTATATGGCTTTTCTCCAGTATGAATTCTCTGATGTACAGTAAGGTTTGAACTACAGCTGAAGGTCTTCCCACATTTAATACATTCATAGGGCTTCTCTCCAGTGTGAATTCTGTGATGTTGAAGTAGGGATGACCTATGACTGAACGCTTTCCCACATATACTGCATTCATAAGGTTTCAATCTAGTGTGATTTCTTAAATGCATGTTCAGTGATTCTGGCTGGTTGAAGGATTTCCTGCATTTCTGACATTCAAAAGGTTTTTCTTCATTATGAATACTCTGATGCTGAATAAGAAATGACAAGCTGCTAAAGACTTTCAGACATTTGTTGCATTCGAACTGCTTCTCTACAGTGTGAATTCTCTGATGTCGAGTAAGGTGTGAGCTACAGCAAAAGGCTTTTCCACATTCACTACATTCATAAGGTTTCTCTCCAGTGTGAATCTTCTGATGGTGGATGAGAGATGACCTATGAATGAAGGCCTTCTCACATATTCGACACTCATAGAGTTTTTCTTGAGTATGAATTCTCAGATGTTCAATGAGATGTGAAACACGACTGAACGACTTTCCACAGTTCATACATTCATACGGTTTCTCTCCAGTGTGAGTACTCTGATGATTAGTAAGTGATGACACGTGGCTAAAGGCCTTCCCACATTCAATACATTTGTAAGGTTTCTCTCCACTGTGACTTATCTGATGCCGAGTTAGGGATGAGCCATGGCTAAATGTCTTCCCACATTCATGACATTCGTATGGTTTCTCTCCGGTATGAATTCTCCAATGGCGATTAAGGATGGATTGCTTGCCAAAGGCTTTCCCACATTCATTGCATGTATAGACTTTCTCTCTATTATAAGAATGGTTAAGGGTAAGAGATTTGCTCTGGCTGAAGGCTGCCACACTTTCTTTAGGATTCAAAAGTTTCTTTCCACCATTGATATCGTCATTTTTTATAACAGGTTTTTTTGGTAAGCTCTTCTTAAATATATCATGTTTATGTGATTTCCCTTCAGCAGAAATTCTTTGTGGTTCAGAAAGAATAGACTTTAAATGGAGGATGCTTCTGAATTTGTGAATACTTTCCCCAGTGGGACTTTCTCTAAAGGTGAGGGTCACAGGTCTGAAATGTTCTATCTGATTTTCATGCTTCCCCTCCAACGCCTCTATCAATTCCCAGTCCTTGTTAAAATTTGAAAATTCATGACTTTGTTTTGTAATTTTTTCTATTATTACCATTTGGGGTGAATCTTCATCATAAATATCCTCCTTCATTAATAATTCCTTGTTTTCCCATCTTGATTCCCAATCTGAAATATATCAAGAAAGCAAAACACTGCTTTTTCTGTACTTCTTAAAAAGAAACTTCTATGGAAGGATTAGAGAACTAGAGGAAAAATAGAGCACATCTTCATCCCCAGAAAGCACATAACTGACAATTCTCATGTATTCAATCATTTCTGAACAAAGTTCAAATGGAGCAGAAAACAGAGCTCACAGAGACGGGAACAGAGAGTAATAAGGAAAATGAGTTAAATACAGGCAGTCTGTGGAAAAAAAGTGAAACTGTAAGGAAAAAAAACGCACAAGGTATTCTGGATTCCAAGCCACGTTCTATTCTGTACCTACATTTATGTGAAAGACCACATTTTGGTCTCACACCCTTGGTTCTCCAACCTTCAGTTATTCTCAATTTACTGTCAGTTAGTATGCTTAAAATGCACAATTTATTTTCTTAAGTTTATTTATTTATTTTGAGACAGGGGAGGGGCAGAGAGAGGGAAAGCGAGAATCCCAAGCAGGCTCGATGCTGAGTCCGGAGTCCAACATGGGGTTTGATCCCATAAACCATGAGATCATGCATGACCTTAGCCAAAATCAAGAGCTGGATGCCCAACCGACTGAGCCACCCAATCTCCCCAAAATGCACAATTTACAGTACTGCATTACACAGTTAACAATGAACAAAATAAATATTCTTTATTGCTCTAAAAGATTTAGGCTTTGTTTGTTTAGGATCTGTGTAAAATCGTATCATTTATTGGACATTAGAAAACATTGTTCCTAGAAACTTTTTTATACATTCTTTACTTCCTCTATCACTCATGTCCACATTTGACCCTCGAAGCTCAGCCTTAGGGAAAAACTCATTTGCCATCTAACTGACAGCCTTTCTTTGCCTAAAACCATTTGTATATTTTTCCTTAAGTGGACTTAAAGAGAATAATTTGCTTTATTTTGTTGCAAATAAAATAACAATCTGAATTATAATGATGGCAAAACCTCCATTTTTGATTAGATAACGTAAGTAATGCAGAAAGATAATAACCCGGGGTGGAGGAATGGCTGTTTTGAAATCTAAGGATCCCTCATATGTTACATTTGGGATCTCTGAAGAGAGTACCCCTAAAATATGCAAAAATGCCTCCATACTTTCCACAAGCATGTTTAAGAAAGACTTCTTTTGCCTGATTCTCCACGACTCATCTGGAAACATACCTTTTGACAGTTTCTTATCCACCATCCAAGGTTCTTTCCCATCCTCCAATAAACTGATCACATACGGCTTAGGTATGGAAAGACCTGCTTACAGGAAAAATACAGAACCTGTTTAAACTGTGGTCCTCATGAAGGAGAGGCCATCATCATAAAAGGAACGAAAGGAAGTTTCACTGAAATGGGAAGATAAGCTTCAGGCAGGGCACAACAGAACTCTACACATCCTTGGGAATCTGAAACAACATTTCAGCCATTTACTCAAGAGGATCTCCAGTAATTGACAGAAAATCTCCCCAACTGGGATAGAGAAGGAGCTATGCTTACCTAGAGAAACCAGGTTCTCATAATTCTGGACCATCACATCCTTGTATAAATCCCTCTGAGCAGAATCTAGCCATCCCCACTCTTCATGAGAGAAGTCTATGGCCACATCACTAAATGTCACCTGAAAGAGCAAACATATTTAGGCTCAGTCATAGCCAGGGCCACTTCTGTCACTGACTAAGGGACAAAATTACCCTGGTTGTAGAAGAAAGGGAACAAGATTCAGTGGTTATAGCAATGATCAGGGATCTAAGTTACATAGTAATTGGATAATTATGTGTTTGGCATTGTTTTACAATAAGGGTAAGAGAAATATGAGAGTTTTTGCTTCAGGAGAGTTTTTTCTGCCAAAGGGAAGAAAATTCTAAAATTTTTAAAATCAGCATTCAACATGTGACAGCATACAGTCAAGTACTTAGTTGTATTTTTTTTATAGCTTACATGACAGGTAAATAAAAAATGATGATCCAATAAGGTTCAAAAGAATGATCCAGTATGTTCAGAAAAAAGACATCTTTATATTAAAGAAAGATACATATATAACTACTTTATAAACAAAAACCATTTATGGTATATAATTAAACCTTGTATTGATGATCTGTAATTTAAAAAAATTGAGACCCATGGGCAAGAAAACTAAAGAACAGTTTCATGCCATAGGCAGTCCTTGAATTGGACCTTAAAGTACAGGCAAAGAGGGGCACCTGGGTGGCTCAGTCGGTTAAACATCCGACTTCGGCTCAGATCACGATCTCAGGGTTTGTGGGCTCCAGCCCCACGTCAGGCTCTGTGCTGACAGCTCAGAGCCTGGAGCCTGCTTTGGATTCTGTGTCTCCCTCTCTCTCTGTTCCTCCCCAACTTGTGCACTCTTTCTCTCTCTCAAAAATAAACACTAAAATTAAAAAAAAAAAAAATTGAAAAGTACAGGCAAAGAATCAGAGAATACATTTCAAGGAAAATATTCTAAGAAAATAGTACCCATTCATGATATTATTTAAAATAGCAAACCTTTAGAAAAAGCTTAAATGTTCAGTAACAGCTTACTCATTAGTCAAACTATAATATGTGCAAAAAATGTATACATTTAAAACGGCATTATTATTATCTTTCATTGATGACATGGACATTGTTTGGCTATGATACATTTTTCACTCCAAGTGGCTGATTCAATATTCTATTATTTTATTTGGATATTCGGCCTGTATATTCATTAGTGATACTGGTCTTTGGTTTTATTTATTTAAGTGTATTTATTTACTTTTAAAAAATTTTTGTTAACATTTCTTCACTTTTTGAGAGACAGAGACAGAGTGTGAACAGGGCAGGGGGCAGAGAGTGAGGCAGACACAGAATCAGAAGCAGGCTCCAGGCTCCAAGCTGTCAGCACAGAGCCCAACGCAGGGCTTGAAGTCACGAACCGTGAGATCATGACCCGAGCTGAAGTCACAGTTCAAGTACATTGGTCTACTGACCAATGTCAATAGACATTTCAGGCTGGATTATCATGGTGGGAGCTGTCCTGTGCATTGCAGAGTGTTTAGTTAGTAGCACCCTTAGCCTCTACCCATTCCCCTGCACCCCAGGGCTGTGACAACCAAAAATGTTTCCTCCAGATATTATCAAATGTCCCCTATGGGTAGGGCTAAAGGAGACAAAATCACCCCTGTTGGAGAACCACCACTTTAGAAAATTTTCACAGTTCCTTGAAAGATTCTTAGCCCTATCTACCTGTGCTCAAGATGTTCTCGCAGTCTGGTATAACTTCACTTCTATCTCTGCCTCCCTGGTACCCTGGGTCACCAAAACCAGTTCCAGCCTTGCCTCCTCAGGGATGCTTCAACTCTTCCTGCCCCTTCAGTTGCCTGGGCAGCCTGGGATGTTCATTCATCCTTGTCCCCAGAAGAACTTAGGATATTTATTCCAGCACCTATCTTAATTTCTTATGCTTTCTTACTTTTCTACCAGCCCTGTACTGGCTCAAAACAGTAGCCACTAGCCACATCTGGCTATGTACGTTTAAATTAATAAAAATTAAAAATTAAGTAAAGTTTAAAATTTAGTTCCTGAGTCACTTTAGTCACAGTTCAAGTACTCAATAGTCACACAGGGCCGGTGGCTCCATATTGGACAGTACACAAAAAGAACATTCCCACCACAGTTCTCTTAGGGGGTGCCTGGGTGGCTCAGTCAGTTAAGTGTCCAATTCTTGATTCTGGCTCTGGTCATGACCTCATGGTTCACAAGTTCGAGGCCCACATCAGGCTCCACGCTGACAGTGAGGAGCCTGCTTGGGATTCCCTCTCTCTCTCCTCTGCCCTTCCTGTGCTCTAAATAAGTAAAACAAATAGGAAGGAAGGAAGGAAAGAAGGAAGGGAGGAAGGGAGGGAGGGAGGGAGGGAGGAAGGGAAAGAAAAAAAAGAAAGAAAGAAAAAAGAAAGGAAAAAAGAAAAGAAAAAAGAAAAGAAAAGAAAAGAAAAGAAAAGAAAAGAAAAGCTCTCTTAGTATTGCACTAGATTACGAAGTCCTGTATGTCACGGGATAGGACGCTCAAACCTATGTAAGATTCTTCCCAACAGATATTTCACAAGTGTTTACAAAATGTATCAATGAATGATTTTGGCAACTAGTTCACTTTAGCTTTTACTTAAAAAAAAGTTTTTTCCCCTAGTTATCTAATATTCCCAAGAAACCAGACTCTGCCCAACGTGCACATATGCCACTAACACTATGGCACTAACATATGCCAGGCTTCACCTTCCACCTGATGATCCTACCCTTTTGTTTCAAGGATCCTAACCGTTTTTTTCAAGGTTCATTCACTCAACAACGATTTACTAATGTTCCGTGTAAAGCTGTTCATGTGACTCGTTACAAATTTCTGCCCAGAGCCACACATACACAATCATGGGGGCTTAGTCAGCTTGTATGCCGTATCTGGCCTCAAGATCAAAACTGGCCCTTCTGTTCCTGACGCCAAGAGGGATTAATGTGCCTCATGTTCCTCCTTGAGCCAAATCAGGCTGGCCTCCTAGAATGGATCAGGAAGGGAAAAGGAATATGCAGATGCCAGGCTCCTGGGTGAGATATGATAAGAGAAACAAAAAACAGCTTGCTCAGCACTGCACTTAGGCAAACTTAATGACTAACCATAAATCACACAAGGGTAGTATATGTATATATTGCCCTGGCAGGATAGCTACTCAGAAGTCTCACCTGAGGGGAGGATGCTCCTTCCAGGACCCTTGGGACTCCAACTGGGCTGGTCACCGCAGGGTTTCCCGAGCCAGAAGGTCAGATGTTTTAAGTACCTGATTTGCTGTATTAAGCCTTCTCTGTTCTTCTCTATACTTCTCTCCCTCTTTATGTTTACTATAATTGTTTAATTCCTTATATTCCCATTCCCTTATAATTAATAAAGTCTTCCTCCATGAAACCAAAAGTGCGGCTATAGTGAAAACTTATTATTTTGAACAACCAAGCATCAGTTTTGTGCCAGATGCCACTCTGGGTCCTGAAAACAGTCAAGACAGGGGGGAAAAAAATCCCTCCTAGAGGGAGGAGACCAACAACGAGCATATGCACTTACTAAATAGCGTGTTATCTAGTGAGTGATAATCACTTTGGAAAACAACAAAGCAGTGAGGAGGAGCAGAAGTGATTGTTAGAAAAGTTGACTGCAGGTGTTAGGAGAAGCTTTCCTGAGAAAGTAACCACTGAGCAAAGCTATGAAGGAGGTTAAGAATCAAGCTTCTACATATCTGGGGAAAGAATATTCCAAGCAGACGGTACAGCAATTTCCAAGGCCTGGAAGCCGTAGCCAGTGTGGCTAGAGCTCACGGGAACAAGGAGACAGAGTAGTAAGATGAGATCAGAGGTATAAAAGTGTAATTGCACAAAGCATTTTGGTTTCTTTCTTCCTTTCTTTCTTTCCTTTTTTTTTTTTTTTTTTTTT